ACGTTTTTGGGGGGGTAGGGATAATAAAGAACAAGTATCAGAGGCTCAAGAATCCTCTCTTTAATAATCATACCTCTCCTGCCCATTTCCCAAGATAATGTGCTTTAAAATGGCTAGTAAAAGTAATACAGGCAGTAAAATAAAATTATAAAAAAAGATAAGTATATTATTACTGGATAAGGAAGGATATATATATATTTTTTTTAATTAATTGTTGTTATTATTATTATTATTATTATTTTGCTATAGGGTATGTAAGCTTGCCCAAGACACAGAGAGAGCCTGAGAAAAAGAAAGTGTGAAATCATTCCCTCAGAGGGCAGGGCCATGTCACAATCCTTTCTCCTTCATTCTCCTCTTGGAATTATGGGCATGCACGCACACTCACCTGGCATTAGTTTCAAGCTGCCTGGTCCAAGACTTGAACTGTGGTTGAGTCCAGTGCCTTAACCACTATGCCACCTGCTGGCTCCATAAATCAATATCTTTACAACAAGATTGTAAACAGCAGTTTCAATCTTCATCAGAGTATCTGACTTTATGTCTGACTCCAAGCTTGAAACCTGCCTTTCACGTTCTCTATTTCCATCGTGAGCAAAAAAAATATCCAGCCTCACTGTCTCTCACATCAGTGAGCAAAAAAATCCAACCTCACTGTCTCTCACATCAGTGACCTGTCAACAGTAAGGTATAGTATAGTGTTGTGAGAATTAAATAGGGTAAGATGTGAAAAACCTCTAGTCTAGCAGGTAGTCAGTAAGCATTTGTTTCTTTTTTTTAGCTACTCCAAGAATCTTAAAAAGGGATTCCAGTAATAAACACAATAAACTCAAACTTCACATCTTCAGAAGCTGAAATAAAATATCTACAGAAGATAGAATCATACATCATCTTAAAATTGGTCTGTTTTCCAGGTGCTATCTTTAATTTGATTACTAATACTAAGGTTCATTTAGTAAATACTAACTGCCAAGTACAGTGTTAGACACCTTTTATGCAACAATTCTATAAAGATTGGAGCTTACTGCTGGCGTGGTGGTTAAGGCACTGGAATCTCACCTTGTTGACAGCAGTTTGAGTCCAGACCCAGAGGCTTGAAAATCATGCCGGGCATATGTGCATGCATGCCCAAAATCTGAAGAGAAGAATGGAGGAAAAGGAACTGCAGCATGGCTTCCCCCCAGGGGATGATTTCTCACTTTCCCTCTCTCTCTCTCTCTCTCTTTCCAGCAAGCACACACCCTCTATGGCAAAAAGAAAAAAAAAAATGAAGATTATTGTCATACGGGAGAGAAAGAACCAAGATCCACAGGTACAAGAAACAATTGAGTCCACCTAATGTGTACTACCCTAACAAGAATTTCCTTCAAAATAAAGTTAGAAATTTGGGAACCAGCAGTTAGCGTAATGGCTATGTCGCTGGACTCCCACGTAGTCGACAGCGGTTCGTGTCCCGGACCCAGTGGCTTAAAACTCACGCCGGGCGCGTGTGTGTGCGTGCCCAAGATCCCGAGAGGAGAATGGAGGAGAAGGGATTGCGGCATGACCATCCCCCCTGGCGGGTGATTTCTAGAAAAAAAAAATGGAGATTATTGTCGTACGGGAGAGAAAGAACCAAGATCCTACAGGTACAAGAAACAATTGAGTCCACCTGACTAATGTGTACTACCCTAACAAGAATTTCCTTCAAAATAAAGTTAGAAATTTAAAGAACAATAGGAACTTCAGAAGCCAAAATATCCAAAATCAATGGCTTCAGTGGCTGCTCTTATCATGGGAAAATCTACATTATTATTCTAATAAGATCTCTTACATGTCTAATAATATTTCTTAGAACTTAAAATTGAACCCTGTTATGATTTTGTGATATTTAGGACAAGCTAAACATTTACCATAAAACCATGTATATGTTTCCAGACCTAGTTCTTTTCTTAGCTCTGGTTTTGTAACACAATGTTCATTATATTCCTCTCCCTAAATAGTTTTAAATTTTTCCATAAAAGGCTTTTTAAAATCTCAAACATACACATACATCCTTCCCATAATTCCTATAGTGAGAGGGTGATTCATGTAAATTTTAAAGAAGGCACCCTTCTCTGGATAATTTTAACCTTTCCTAAAAATAAACATTCCAGTCACCAATCCAGTGAGGGGGCAGCAGCTCAAGAATGCACTGTCATGGCAGATGGAGGATCAGTCATTGTGGGAAGTGAAACAGAGACGCAAGTGGCATCGGAACTGATACAGCAGCATCTGATTCCATCAGGCAACCTTTAATAAGTAAGCATTTCATCAGCTGTTGGAAGACTGCAAAGAGACTAAGCAGCAGTATCTGGTGGCAATTAAAAATACTAGAGCTGCAATGTATATTTTGTTTTCATGCACTAGAGGAAGTACAAATGGAATGCTGAGTCAGAAGCAAAAATGCCGACTCACAGCTGACCAGAGGACTTTTTGGAATGTACTCAGTACTTTAAAATGTAAAATTTAAGATGAGATTTATGCTGCTGAAGGTTAGGTCCTCTCCTGCCTCTCAATGTTATCAATAGAACAGACCTTCAGAAATTCTAGTACAATGACATCTTCTTTGATAATTTTTTTGCAATATTTTGGTTTAATTACCATCATGTACACATTAAAGGATATGAAGGACCTTAAAATGCCTCAATGTACACCAATAATAAAGTGAATCGCAAACTGCAAGCAAAGCAGTAATTACGATTCTCCTTATCTCCAGTAACCAAGAGAACCTTCTCAAGGGTCAGATTATTCTAGCTACCTCCTGGATGCCCCTGAGGCCTCTCTCTAATCTCTAAGTACTCATTATTATGTTCTGAAAGAGGGCCTGTCTATGGGGTTGCCAAGAAGAAACTTTATAATAAATCTCTAAACAGTGAAGTACTAGTGTACAACTCCTGGAGGGAGCTGTACTCCATTTTCTGATGACTGCCATGCCCACCTTTAGGAACCTATCTACTAAGTGATGGGCACTGCCCTTGTGTCAAAGTCAATGGGATAAAGGTGGACACCTGCTTAAACTCATCTCGAGATGTTTGCTGCCGGGGCAGAAAACAACAGTCTTATGGGATATATCACCCAGGAGGTGAGGGGCCACTATAGTTTACAGTGGGCACAGAGAAGCAGAGAGAGGCCAGCAAAGGGAGAGTACAAGGAACCTAGACTATGACCCTGCTTCTTAAAGAGTCCATGATGGAACTGCCTGTGAATAGGGCCATGGGCAGGCAGGAGGCCCTGTCTCCAATCCTTCATGAAGCTCTGTAGCACCATTATATTGGACTACTCTGAGACACTAAGTCTCCTTATCACAAAGTAGCCTTTTACTCACTCAAGTCATTTGCACAGGTTACTTCTTTCCAAGGAGTCCTGACAAGTAGTCTAACCAACCCAGACTAGCTTCAAAATAAGTAGCCTCTAAATATCTTGCCACTAAATAAGACACTGAATTCTCTTGGGCATTTTTTTTTTAATTATGATTTCTGGTTTACATATAATTGATGTATATCTTTGTGGGCCACAATATGTCTTAAAAGGCATGTGTACAGTATATAATGATCAAATCAAGGGTATACACACATTCATTTTCATCACTGAACTTTGTGTCCCACACATTTGTTAATCATTCTACTGGCTTAAAAATACGTATTAAGGGTCAGCAGGTGCATGGTAGTTAAAGTGTTAGATCCCACATGGCCGACTCTGCAGTTTGAGACCTGGACCTGGTGGCTTGAGAAACACATTACATGCATATGTGTGTGCCCGAAATCCCAAGAGGGAATGGAGAAGATGATGGTGGCATGGCCATCCCCCCTTGGGGGACAATTTCTCACTTTCCCTCCCTTCCACTCCCTTTCCACCCTTTCACCCCCGTCTTTCTCCAGCATGCACATGTGCCCTATGGCAGAGCACACATGCCCTGTAGCAAAAAAATCTAAAAAAGAAAAAAAAATTATTAAATTGTCCATACTTTGTATTCTCCTGATACACCATCCTGTAGCTTCTCCCCCTTATTTATACGTATTTTTGTGTCCATCAAAAATCTTCTCACAAACCTCTTATGAAACCTTTAGAGAGTCTCACTGTCCACCCCACAGAATTCTCATCTCGTCCTAGCAGGGGCTTTGACTATATCCACAGAGCTTTTTCAGGGTACTTTATATCCACCTCCCTGACTCAAGTTACATTCTACATAGGATTTCAACAGTCCAGGCAGACTGCCTGCAGCTGAGTCATTCAGGCCAGAGCAGGGTCGGCGGCTGGCTCAGACCTTCCATAGAATGTGTGCAATCCAGGGACCACTGCTGAAAACTCTGGAGCTGGATGCTCCCTAGGTCTCCTGACTGTGCCTGGGCACACAATTATCTAGTGCAGGGCTGCTTCACCTGAGCAGCTCCACATGCTTGCCCCAAAAAAGTGAAAGGCCAGAGAACAAGGAGTATTACTCAAGGCGGGGACCAGGAAGGGCAGGGAAGAAGCACTTCCTCTCACTGGCTATGGCCTGATCCCACAGCTCCCTCAAGGAAAGCCACAGAGGCTTCCAGTCCTGGATGGAGGTACCAGTGGGAGGCAGAGGTAAGTTATGGGCTCTGCAGCCAAACAGCATCATACCAGAAAGCACCCCTGCTGCCTCTGAATCAGCAGGCTAAAGATGGAATAAACTGCTTTCACTTTGGGAGTTTGGCTTAACACAATGAGTGGTAGGGGAGAGAAGAGGAAGTGAACAAGGCAGCCTGTGGAGGTGGAAAGACTCCTCCAGCCCAGACCAGGCAATGCAGCCCAGGCCCCCACAGCCCAGCTGGCCTTCCTTTTGGGGTTAACCATGATCCTTATTTGACCACAATTGAAACAAACATACAAAAAAATCCAACTCCACATAGGGATTTAAACAAAGGACATCGGGGTATCTCAAGAGAGTACAGCTTTTAAAATAAAACTCCAGAATCCAGACACGGCCTGTGGATTCATTAAATAGCATTAATGACTCCCACAAACATTAAGGTTTTGAATGTATCTGCATAACTCTGTTACATGATCTCTCAACATCTCTTTAGACGGAAGAGAATCTTCTTCACAACTTTGGGCTTTTGTAAGGAACACCTCGAAAACTTCACTTAAACAAGTCTTCATCTACTTGATGACCTGAAATACTGTTAGATCAGCAGAACAATCTGAAACATTTTTTAAGGGCTAGCCAGGAGCACAGTGGTTGAGTGTGTCACACAGAAAGCTGGATCCCATATGGTTGACCACAGTTGAATCCTGCCTTGAGAGGAGACACATCAGATGTGTGTGCATGCATACCTAAAATCTTGATGGGATGGAGAAATGGAAGGAGGATGAGGTATGACAATGCCCCATATGGAACATCCTCTATATCTCTTTCATGAGTATATGCACCTTACAGCAAAAACAAAACAAAACAAACAAACAAAAAAAACCTTAAAAAAGAAAAGAAAAGAAAAGAAAAGAAAAGAAAAGAAAAGAAAAAGGAAAAGAAAGACCTGTTATAGGGTAACAAGAAAGGGAAAGAAGGTTGCTAATGTTTTCTGAGTGATAACTCTGTATTGGGACAATTATCCTTAAAGTGAGCTAATGTTAACTTGATTTAATTAACCATATTATTTAACAGGAGTTAAATTTTTTATACATGAATACAAAATCTTGATGACTCAAATCACTCCCAAGGTGCAGGTCGGTATTGAGATCCTGATTCAAACTCAATCTTTCCACTTCTAAAGTCCAAATTCTTTCCACTATAACATGCATGCACACACACACGAACTCCTCAAATAAAAATTTACAATACTGTGGAAATATAAACCTACATAGGCCTTAGAGACTCCCTAATTCTATATCTCATTTAAGAAACTAAAAAGTCACAAGGAAACTATGGTAAACAATCTTCGAAGATGGCTCCAAAAGTTCTACCTCTCCTTTGAATATGTACACTGGTCCTCCCATCAATAGGCAGGGTCAATTTCCTTCTCCTCTTGACCTTGTGATCTGCTGACTAATAGAACGTGGTAGAAGTAACAGTATGCCAGTCTCAGAGAGGCCTTTAGGAACTGAGCAGCTTCCCATTCATGCTCTCTGGGGAAGTCAGCCACCATACTGTAAGGGAGCTCAGGCTAGATCACTGAAGGACGAGGCACCTTGTGCTGATAGGCATCTTGGAAAACTGAACATGGAAGTGAAGTCTCCTTGAGCTTTGTAACCCCACTGCATGGCCCCAAGGAAGGACCCTAGTCAATGTCACCTAAAGCAGAAACAGTGCCCAGGTAGATGTGCTGATACATTGAATTCTCAGCAGTCTAAAGCTGCTCTATTATACAGACAGAGATAACTAAAACAGAAGAGCTTAACTGGCCTGTCCCTAGTCAGGAATTAACAGCAAAGACTAAAATCCAACCTATATGACTTTTTATCTGGTCACTATGTTTAGCATAAACTGACAGAAAAATAGGGTGAATGAGCTAGAGAATGGTGAAGCAGTAAAATGTGATGCTCTGAGAGGCAAAGCCACAGAGGACTTGGAGTTCAAGTCCAGAGATTCCCCCTAAATATGCTGCGCACAAGCGAACTCATGATCTGCAGCAAGCTGAGGCTGGGGTGGATCGTGACATCAAGACTCTGTCAGAGATACAATATATTGCCTTTATCTCTGACACTTATGGAATAAATAAACAAACATAAAAAAAAAAATAGGACACTCAACTGAACAGACTGATGGACCTATGGCTTTCTCATAACATCTCATTCAGAAACACATCTTAACAAAATTACTGTACTCATTTGGTCATGACAGAGTTACAGAGGGTGCCCTGGTATCTCTGTTTCACTAACCTACAATTTCTCATTGCAAACTCCCTGACAGAGACGGGCAATCATCAGCCTTGTCTGTGTCACCAGTGCCGACCTCAGGGCCCTTCATGGCAGGGAACATAATG